TAGTTGTCACATATACCCCAATGTTCAACCTAAAAGTCATGCAGCTACTATAAGGTCATGCAATGGTGAATCATTTGACATACTGACATATTGACATGAATCAATATTGTACAGGCGTGCACTGACTTCTGTTGTATACAAAGTAACAATGCAACATTTTGAAAAGCTCTTCATGTGTTCTTAATAAAAAAATTGTAAAGACAGTCAGTTAATGTGGAGGAGTACCATTAAGTGTTACCCATAAAATACTAAGCCTATGTATATTTAAATTTTAATTATGTATTTCATGTAATTCTCAAAAGAGATCAACGTATGGCAGAAGGACAGAAAAACAAACATGACAAACACATGACAAAAGCACAAAGAGCATCTGTGACAATCACAGCCATCACATACTGGAAGAGGGTGAGCAGGTGGAAGTAGGGAGGGGAAGCAGGAGGTTGCTGTTAATGAGATATAGACCAGGAAACAGAAGGACAGCAGAGGAAGACACTGTTGTTAATTGAGCAGAGAGAATCGAAGGGCCACTGATAAAGGGTGGAAGATCCACTCCTTAACCCAGCAACATTAGCGTTTGGCCCAGCTCCAAGCCTCTGAGGCCGGCTAATATACAGCCGGCGTCAGCCAGTGCAGCGAGGGTGACACAGAGCAGCAACACCAGGTCCTTCCAGCCACTTTCATTTGTCACGGAGATTAACATCTATTAAGAGCACAGGTCCATCTCTTGATTACTCGCATTCATCATGTCTGACTGCTAAGAGTGACTTTGTTCTGCCAGAAAAAGCATCACGCACAATACAGGTACTTACAAAACTGTTTTCAGTCATGTTAGCATGTTCACCTCTTAGATTCTCAGACCATATGCTGTTAACTTTTCCACCATCGAGGCTGGTCTGTAAGGGGGTGGTTCCAAAAGCTTTTGAACAGGCTTCCTTTATCAGCCCTCGTTCATTGATCTTTCCAAGAAATATCTCACGATGTAGATGTTTTTATTGCCTTTTGGTTGCTTTTAGTGGTCTTGATGTTAGTATTTTAGATTTCTTTAATATATATTACAAACTGACTTCCCTTTTGCCTGTTTTAGTATGTTATGTTACTTTAGTTTGTTTTACAGATTGATATTACAAGTCTTATACTCTTGACTTGTACAAAATGTTGTTGCCCATACAGCACCTTGGTTCACTCAGGGTGTTTTACATGGGCCATATAAATGAGCTTGATTTGATTTAGCAATGTGGCTCTGGAGTCTTTTATGGATATATATATATGTACACTTGTAGATTATACAAAACTGAAAACAGCTTTGTGTATCAGTACTTTCCTTCTTTCCTCTCCCATTAATCATGTGACAAACCCTTTTTCTCACATTCCTGTATATAAAACTGGATATAAAGTAGTTCAAACCTGAAGCAGCAACAACAGTAACATGCTGCTGACACACTGATGCCTCACTATTAATAATCTAATGGTGGCAGAGACTGCTGTGTCAGTCAGAGGGACCGAACCAAGACTCTCACTGCAATATTTAACTACCTTTTGCTGCTATGTGTTTCCACCCCTCAGGGGTGTGTCCTGTCTCCACTTCTCTTCTCCCCCTCACTAAGGACTGAACCTCCAAGCACCCATCTGTCAAACTCTTGAAGTTTGCAGACGGCACTACAGTCATCGGCCTGATCCAGGACGGTGACGAGTCTGCACATCGGCAAGAGGTTGAGCGGCTGGTGTTTTGGTGCAGCCAGAACAACCTGGAGCTGAACAAGCTCAAGACTGTGGAGATGAGAGTGGACTTCAGGAGACAACCCTCGCCACTGCTCCCCCTCACCATCAGCAACAACCCTGTGTCAGCTGTAGAGTCCTTCAAGCTCCTGGGGACGACAATCACCCAGGACCTGAAGTGGGAGAAGAACATCCGCTGCATCCTCAAAAAGGCTCAGCAGAGGATGTACTTCCTGCGACAGCTGAGGAGACACGATGAGGAGCTGTTGATTCAGTTCTACACTGCCGTCATCAGAGCTGTCTTGTGCAGCTCCATCACTGTGTGGTTTGGAGCAGCCACACTGCAGGACAGAAACAGACTGCAGCGCACAGTCAGAACAGCCGAGAAGATCATCGGAGCCCCCCTGCCCTCCATCCAGGAACTGTACTCCAATAGAACCAGGAAGAGGGCAGGGAACATCATCACAGACCCTACTCATCCTGGTCAGAAACTGTTCTCCCTCCTCCCCTCCGACAGGCGATACAGAGTCCTGCAGACTAAAACCACCAGACACAAAAACAGTTTCTATCCCACTGCCATAACCCTACTGAACAGCTGAGCCACTCCAAGTCACAACTGTTATTTGCACTTCTATGTTGCACTCATGTACATATACCTGTTTCTGCTCGGATGTGTAAAATCTTGTATATATTTGTCTTATTATCTTGTTTTATTTTTTATTCATATTTATTGTATTTTATTTTTATTCTTTTCTTTCTGTAGTTATTTTACTTTATTTTATTT